GAGTGAAGTGCTCTGTTAGGAAAGTATGGAACAATAAGATGTTTAATAAATGATGGAGCTTGGTTGTTAAGAGCTTTGTATGTTAGGAGTAATGTTTTAAATTCTCTTCTGAATTTGACAGGGAGCCAGTGGAGAGAAGCTAAAACTGGAGAAATATGATCTCTGCTTCCAACTCTCATTAAAACTCTAGCAGCAACATTTAGTGTTCTTGTATTAAAATTAAATATTCTTTAATAGCTAAATTGATAGAAGTAAAAGTTTTATATGTTAAAATTTCTGGGACCAATCAAATGTTTCTGTTAACGTGTCAGTTTGGTCTTAAAAGGACTTAAGTTGAACTCACTGAAACCTGCCTGAACCCTGCTTTTAACAATCTGTTGTGGACTTTTAAAGTTAACTGACGTTTCAACTTCTTCTTTCAGCCAAACCGATGCATCAGCACGGACACCATCATCACGGGAAGGACTGCCTGAGGCTGAGGGTGGACGTCGTCGGACACAAAGGCTCCTCAAAGTCTCCCTCGGACAAATCCAAAGCAGAGGAGACGCAGAAAGATGAAAGAAAAGGGACGTTTCTGGCTGCTGGAGGCGTCCACAACCCCACCAACGCACTCCCAGCAGGTGAGGCTGTTTTTCTGTTTTCAGTAAAGATGTCACCACGTCCAGGCTCAGCTGGGCGTGTTTACCATTCCTGAGTGATGAAACGGAGCTCTGACTGTCCTCTTCCATTTGCTCCATCAGATGATCCTGCTGTGATGGAGCCAAACGTCCAGAGGAGCATCGGCAGCTCTGCAGCACAGCTGCTGTCTGTGTCCGTCTTATTTACCATCATCCCCGTTTTATTAACCGCCGCGCTGCGCTGAACCCAACCACAGGCCCAAACAGAGACTTTTCTAAACCAATGCTGGTTATTGGCTCACAGATTTATTTTTTATAAACTCTCCTTATAAATATAAATGAGCATGTTTGTGTTGTTCAGTGTGTGTTTGACGTGTTTGTGTGAATGTGGAGCGTGGAGCGCTCCAACAAAAGAGGACCTCAAAGTTGATTTTTTTTACGTATTTTTTTCTATCGTTTTGAGGATGTAAATTTAAAATTTTGGACTATTTAAGATGTACTACTTTTTTCAGTCGTGAACAGAAACTACGAGCAACAAGAAGCTAGGAATATGAGTGACGTCACATCACCCTGACCCTGTTTTTAATGTTCATGTCGTTGGTACAGCTGTGCTTTGTATCACCAAACACTTCTTTTTCCTCCTCTACATGTAGAGAATTTATTGTTTTTGTTGTTGTTTGTTTTGTCGGTGAAAGTGATAGAACTAATGTAGGATATTTGTCAGGTTGTGTAGCACTCAGCTCCTGTTCACAACATTGGATTTAAATTCTTTTTATTAGTTTTTCTGGTCAAACTTTAGTAAGATGCTGTCCTGCTGATGAGACAAAAAGTGTTTAAACTAAACGATGGGTTTCTGATTCGGCAATAAACTTAAAATTTTAAATGTTTTGTCTTTAAAAACGAGAATCAGGAGCTGAGCTTCATCAGTTCATCTCATCTCCACCGTCTCGATGGTTTTATGGTACACTGGTTGATGTTTGCAGAAATCATCCTCGAAATGAAGAAGCTTTTGTTCGTTTGTTTCTCCTCGAACATGCTTGACTCGTTTTGTAAATTTGTACATAAGATAAACCACAAGGCACTGTTTTAAGATGTGAAAAAATTATTTGGTGAAATTAAAAAACAATGTTATGAAATGAATTTTAAAAAAGGTGTATGTTTTTTATCAGCTGCCGTGAAACTTCCTTTCTGTGATGTTAACCAGTTTGAAGGTTAATCTTGGACAATATCTGATGATCGACTCTTTTAAATGAAACCAGAGAGCGTTGACAGAGAGGAGAAGGTAGAAATGACTCAGCCT